GTCGTGATATTGCGTAATTATCAATTAGACATATATATATAGCAAAAGTAGAAAGGTTCTTTCTTTGAGTTTTTGAATAATCGAAATTGACGTAGAAATAGCGAATTTTTAAATAACACGAAATGGAGGACGTGATGGAGCTGAAACTTGGGGGCAAATCCAAGGAAACAGAATACCTAAAACTTGAGCCCGTGAAGCATCTTGACAGAACAAAGACACGCTGAAAGTCTATCATAATATTGTATTTTAACACAAATACTGTATTTTTTAACACATTACACCCTAACTTGCCCGCGAATTCCCTCACGCACTCCACCCTGACTCGCCCGCACCGACCTAGCATCTTTAGAAACGAAGTCTCACCTTGACGTGTTTCTGGGGCCGAGATTTTAATTTGCATAGTTATTGCAAAATGTTTCTTCTTTCGTTTGAAACCGAAAATAAATTTTTCGGGCCAGTTGATTCAGTACTAGAGCCGATAGAAGTGCAATCGCGTTACAGACACCTCAAACATGATTCAGATTTTGATGAAAACGTAGCAAGAGTTTGGGGCCATTCAGATTGATCAGACGTAGAAAACTAGAATTTACATCTAGGGCCCGACCGCGAGGCTGAGAGTGAGAGTGACGGGTCGGACACCCCGATTGAACTAAAGTTAGAACATTTCCAACAATTTGCGCATACATAAAGTTATATTTTTCTGAAACAATATTCAGTTGTCTTTTTAACTTTTATTTTTTCAGGATTTTTGGAATTTGTAGTATTTTTAAAATGTGTTTTTTATCCGCTTGTATTCACGGGAGGTGGGTTCTTCCCCTTGCTTAGGATCTAGGAGTGGACTTCCCGCCCAGGCCCTTAGGGTGTTCTGTGTTAACCGATGATGAAAATAGTGCTCTGTCTTTCATAGCTTTTTATTTGTAAAGTGTTACAAACACATGAATAACCCCCTTTCAAAAGCTGATAAGACATTACGAGTAGTTACGCCCATTCGAATAACCTTTCTAGACGCTCTTGTCGTTATGAATGACCTGAGGTTCTAAAGGGGATAATATAGGTCAATTTCCGAATGTTTTACACTCAAATTGTTCTTTGTACCTGCACAATGGTATTCAAAACTATCAAACAAGCTTATTTTTTATCAGGTAGTATCATTTCATACAAAATCAAGCTCATTTGAAATATTTTGTATAGAAAATCCTGACTATCCTTTCGAGTTCCTCATGTGTAAGTGGGTCAATTTCTTCTATAATTTCATTGGACGAACATCTAGAGCTACCAACTTGGCGAGCTTTGAATGAGACGTATGCCCCGATTACGAACCAATGCCGGCGGTTCTAGAAGAAGGCCACAAACGCACACAAACTCAAACAGACTGACGCACACAAACTCAAACAGACCGACGCACACACACTTGACCTGCGTGAATGGGGATCCGACGCAGGACCCGAATTTCATGTGAGATGATGTGCGGCGCGCGTGCGCTGAGCCAGGGGCTACACTGACTCGGGACCAGAATGCAGGCGAGGTGTCGAAATAGGCTTATCGGGTGACATAAACCCGGCCCCTGCAGGACGAGGGTTAAAACGTATTTTCCCTACAATAATTTATCAAAAGGGCACTGAACGAATGAAAGAGGAAGATTCTCTATCGCAAGTAGCCAGACTTTAGCCGATTTGCACATGATAATTTACTGCCGACCAAACAGCACAGAGGGACAATGGTTGAGTGTGTGGAATGCGCAATCTGGCACTTTCACATACCCAGAGATGCCAACCACAGAAAACCGAAATGAGTATTGGGAAATATGAAAATGTGTATTTTCAGAGGAAAATGTGTATTCCCCACGACCGACCGACCGACTAGTAATAGTAAAATGTTAAAGGGGTTCAGTAATATTTCCTGAAAAAAAATTACTAGCTCACCAGCTCGAAAAAGGGAGTGTACAATATACATGTATCCAGTCAACAACATGTCAGTGTTCAGTGTCGTACTGGGGTCTTGTTTGACTTAAATATTTCAGTCTATTATACCGCTAATATTTTCCTCTCATTATCATGTAAAAAATAAATCCTGCTTTGAGAGTTCGGAAGGGCCTAGAACAAAAATTTCGCCAAGCAAGAACCAGTCTGGGTGTCATGATTCATGTAATGAACTGACAGACTCAAATTATTGCTCAAACTCAGAGAAAAGCGATAACTTGAATGACTCAAGTAGACCCATGCACTGTGAGAGTTGTAATAGCTGTGGTAGGGCAAGATGTAGTGACTGAAAATCTACCAGTCTTGAACAGAAAGCCACAACATACACTGTAGGCTAGGTATAATTTACTATCACCCATCCAATGAAACGTGAACACTTTATTTCAATAACACAGACTTGCAAAGTTTGAAGGGTCCCGATTCCGCACACGGCCTGCACCAACGCGCGCTTTGCAGAGAGCTCTAATCAAAATTTTGAAATGTGCTTCCAAGTTTTTGTCCTCTGGTGTTGCCATCACACCCTCCCCCATAGTATCTTAAACCCCCAAAAAATCAATAATCTCCTCCCCTATTCCGTAGTCCTATACTTCGCAAGGCCGTTACTCCCACCAAAGACGATCTTTGCTCACACGATGCCGCATTTATTTATGACACAAATGCGCGCAGG